AATTGCACACAAACACTGCGTTTCAACGGGTTGCGCAGTCTCAATGTGTATGGATTTTCACATTTCCCGAATTGAGGGGAGACAGGACAATAATTCAGACAAAGGAGTGTACGGCAACGCGTTCATACGAAGTCATACTCTAAACTGGACTTGGTAGTTTAGCACAAAACTAGTCACGTTATTTTGCTCTAATGAGTGTAAAGTCCTTTAGTTAGGAAAACTGCCCTTTTAATTCAGTATATTGAGAGTAATAGTCATTAATTTTGGCGAAATCGGAGGGAGCCTCATACTGAAGAAATGTCCTACGCGACTAAGTATGAAAGAACCAAACTTTTATTAAAATGCAGTATGCTATGGGAGAATCCCCAAGATAAGTAAGGAAAGTTTAAAATATATCCCTGCCAGAAGCAGAAAATTGAATCTGAATTTGACAAAAGGCAGGTAAAGCCAAATTTAAGGGATCGCACTTATTTTCAGAAAAAAGGCGCAATTTCAGCTTTAAAAACCATTTTTTGCCAATGCGTGCAGTTTTGGCCACATAATGCAGAAAAAACGTTTTGACCACATAAACTATTTGGGACGGTCGCGAAAAATGCATATATTATCGCGAAGATGAAGGTAAAAGCAAACCTTATTAAATCTAAAGCATGTAGAGATGTACTTTTTGTACACTATGATTTCCGCTTATGCGTAGTTTGAAAAAAAGGCACACAGCAGATTAATAATTTTTGCAAGATCTTAGTATCAATTCGACTACACTTTTTGCATTCGCAAGCCTAGAACAGAGCCTGAAAGTAATCAATTTTGGTGAAAAATACTTAAATATAAAGATAAAAGTGAGTTCTACCATTTCATCCAATCTGTATTATTTATTTTAAAGTACATTACGAAACTTGTAAAAATCGTTTATTTTCATTTTGACCTACACACTGTTTTTAAAGCAAACATACACAGCAGGATTTATGTATCCGAACAAATTTCGGGACATCTTTTCAACTGCCTCCTGTCTGCGTGAATTGGATAACCAATGGACGACACAGTAGCTTGCATTTACACAGTGCCAATATATAACAGCAAGGTCGTTTTTCGACGGGGCGAATAGTAAATAATAATATCACCTTTAATGTTTGGATACAGGAAAGAAAAGTGGAGAAGGGAATTAACAAAAAAGCGAAGGTTGATTAAATGTAGGCATGCGATTACCCTGGCAGTTAGAGATTAGCCACATGATCTAACTGCTTACGTAGGTCGGCTTTCTCCCGACGTATATAGGCTGCTTCCATGTAGCACAAGGCTCGACTTTTTCGTGCTCGAACAAGAACTCGGAAAGATGTTTTGAGGTCCACAGAGTGACCACTGCCTAGCAGATGTTTTGTAATGCAGGACCGCGGTACTTTGTTTTCTTTTTTCAGAAGCCAATAAGGCAAAAGTTCAGCAGCCCTGGTCACAAATTGCCTTTGCGTACGCCCAATGTACTTGCATCCGCAAGTGCACGTGAATTCATAGGCACAGTTTTGGGCGGCGTGCAAAGGCAAGGCATCCTTTGTCCGGTTAACTAGAAGGCTCTTAGTGGGAGTGAGGGACAGTAGTTCAGCTGCACAGTACTTTACCTCTATGGTGCACTTGCGGATGCAAGTACATTGGGCGTACGCAAAGGTAATTGGCGACCAAGGCTCCTGACAGGAAGCAGTTAAAAAGGTGTCCCGAAATCTGTTTGTACAAATAACTCCTGCTGTGTACACTTGCTTTAATTCGTACCTAGGAAACAATGTTTTAAACACACAGTGTTTCAACGGGTTACGCAACCTCGATGTGTATCAGTTTGCAATTTCCATGCATTGACGGGAAAGCAGGACAATGAGTCGGACAAAGTACGTACCTTCGCCAAGTGTTCGAGCCACCGGCCCAGGGAGACAAAGAGAAACAGCATCGGAGAGGTCTCAAAGACAGTCTTGGGACTGGTTGGCCACTGATGACACATAGCGATGGCGACTACAACCACGGAGTAGGAGTAGGCTACGGACGAGGCCATGACTAGAAGGACGTCCATATTGGCCATGCCGTGCTTCAATGACTTATAGGCTTGAGAGTAGAAGTGACGTCCACTGATGGTCTGCAAGGGGTGGAGGGAAACAGTGCAAGAATGCGATAATTATACGCATCGAAAATGCAGAGGAGTATTTGGCGAGCATAGGTAGCTTTCGATAAATTCTCTTCAGGCCATTACATTTATATGGGAAGGGGGTAAAAGGTAACATGCGGGCAGTTATGTTCATCATAACAGGCAAATTAGTCATGGGGATACGTGAGGGGGGAGGGTTGATAGTATTCGGCTGGTTACGAGGCAATGAGGAGCTTATACAAAAGAATACGGGAGCACCCCCGGCATGACTGAGCAAAGGTCAAGTCAGAAGTATCAACAGCACCATCCTTGCCGACATGTTTGATTCCGGATATCGCGTGAAGCCCAAAGAAGCCTTCAAAGTAATTTATAAGGTCCCACCAAACTACCCAAAATCCCTGGGTCAGCGTGTGCTAGCAACAGCAGAAGCAACCGCGATCCGGTTAAGGAAACTGGTTTTGTGGGCGCAAAAGAACCTCATGCAAGCTCCGAGTTTGGCATGGCCAACGGTTACATAACTGCCAGCATCTTTCCACGCTTTCTCCCCCTTCCCACCCTCCTCCTCCCCCTGTCCGGATTCAACAAACCCTCATCGCCACGCAACCAGCCGAGTACTATCAACCCCACCTCCTCCTTTTTTTCAATGACTAAATTGTCTGTAACGATGAACATAACTGCCCGCATGTTACCTTTTACCCCCTTCCCATATAAATGTAATGGACCGAGGAGAATTTATTGAAAGCTACGTATGCTCGCCAAATATTCTTCTGAATTCTCTGATGTGAATACTTGCAACTTTAAAACACAGAGAATGAAGCAAGAGGGCAGGGGGGGGGGTGGG